TGCATGATAATGATGATGATAGTGATGGTGGTGATTGTGGTGATGATGCATGATGATAATGGTAGTGATGATAATGGTGATGATTCTATTGATTGTGTATTTCTTTCTTGTTAGGTACCAGATCCCAACTTTCCCTTTCTTGGTGTTCATTTTACTCCTCGTATTGATGGAAGTGTCTGGTTAGGACCAAACGCCGTTCTTGCCTTTGCACGTGAAGGTTATAAATTATGGGATGTGAACTTAAAGGATCTTGGAGATGCCTTTGCATTTAGGTAGATATCAGCYGCAGCAATAGATTTATTTGATTCTTTGATATTCACATGTGCTTTGGATAACTTATCAGTTAGGTTTTTATTTGATTTCAGAGGATTACGCAAGTTAATGTTTAAATATTTTTCATTTGGTGTTGGAGAGTACTATCGTGGGATTTACACTGCTGCTCAAGTCAAACAGCTACAGAAATATGTTCCAAGCTTAACTGTTGAGGATGTTACAAGGTAGATGTCTTCAATCTTACAAATTTAAAATGATGTAGTTTTGAAGCTAAAGATTCTTGATTTCATGGCTGTCATGGGACAATATTGGGAAMTAAAGAGAGTATAGTATTAGTCTGCTAATCAAAAATATTTTTTCTCAGGGGTCCTTCTGGTGTTCGTGCACAGGCTCTTGACATTGAAGGGAACTTGGTGGATGATTTTGTGTTTGACGGTGGTGTTGGAGAAATTGGTAGCCGTGTTTTACATGTCCGTAATGCTCCTTCTCCTGCTGCAACTTCTTCTCTGGCAATTGCTAAAATGGTTGCCGRCAAAGCTAAAGAAAGATTTGATTTGTAGTGAATTGTCACAGCATTCTACATTGTCAGTGCAACGCATGAACCTGAACTCAATACCACAATATAATTATGAATATTATAGTTCTTAATTTTGTTTTACRTTTAGTAGTTTTTAAGAAAACTTGAATACAAATAAAATACACGGTCATATCAAATTACAMAAAATGAAAAGGGTAGGTAGAGGGAGTCTCCTGCTGAAGTGACTGTAACAGACTGTAAGTCATACAAACTAATGTCTAACACGCAATATATTCAAAGCTAGATAATATTTATTAGTCAAAGCCAACTAGTGGTGTATTATCAATGCTGCRTTCTGATTGGATGAGCTACTACTAGRCTATAAATTATAGTCTACTTGTAGTGAAAAGTGCTGGCTTTGAAAACYAAACATTGAATTCAAATTCAATTGAAAACTTGTTTGCATCTATATATTTGAATGACCTAGTTGGATTTGACTAAAGCAATTAGTCYTCTAGTTCTCAATGCCTACAGGTCAATAGCCCATTCAGCTCTCCATCATTGATCATAACCTTAATATTTTACTCTTTCTCGTGTGGCTTCTTACACATACATAGAAAATGCAATTTCTATTTTTACAAGTACTCAGACTTCTGTTCAAAATATTCTACTAGTTTTCATTCAGTTTCATAAATTTCTCTTAAAATACATGGACTATACCCATAGGCTTTTATCCTTTTAGAATTGTCCCTTATTCAAAGAAAGTTAGAAAAGGGTCATTTTTGACCAAAAAGCATGGCAGGAGTATAGCCAAAGGTTTTGGTCAATTTTAAGTGTTTTTCACTCCTCTTAAAAAAATATGAATTATTTATTTCACTTGAAAAATGGGTGTTTTTGGCCAAAAAGCATGGACTATAGCCCATGGTTTTGGTCAGTTTTGAATGTTTTTCACACCTTTTTCAAATTCATGCATTATTCAAAGATATTCGAAAATGGGTCATTTTTGGCCAAAAAGCATGGACTATAGCCCATGGTTTTGATGGATTTTGGGTGTTTTTCACACCTTTT